AACGACACATGTCATGGCTAACCGGTTTACCAGGTTATAAGTTTTTTTGTCTTGTTTAAAATTAACAACCCCCAAAGGTTGTAATATTCATGTATAATCCAAAGGTTGTATAATTTAAAAAGAACGGACCAAAGGTTGTATTACAATTTTCCAATAATCTAAAATTTCAATTAATCATGATAATCCTATGTTTACTATTTATTTTCTCCAAGAAATCCTAGTAGGTCACCCAACCCTTTACTTCCGGTTACCATCCATGTGGCACTTCCTTATTGGCCAAAAAAATTTTATTGTTCATTTAAAAAAAAATTAATTCTGAAAATTTTGAAAAAAAAAAAATCTATCTTCTTCCCTTCCCCTTCCTGTTTGTTTCTCTCTTCTCTCCCTTCCTTCATTGTCACCCACCAATATCACTCAACACACCATCCATGGGATCACCACAAACACCACCACCTATAACCAGCTCAACACCACCGTCATCACCACTCAACACATCCACGACTAACCCACAACATAACCGCAAACAACCACCCACAACAAATGAAAACAAGACCCACAACATCAATGACATACGACCACCCCCAATTCAAACCCAAATTCAATTAAGAGAGAGAGAAGAGAAGGAAAATGGAAAGGGTTGGGGTTTCGGGTTCTAGGTAGGAGGGGTTGGAAATCGGGTATGGGTGGATGTTGTGAGAAAATAGAAAATATTCTGTAAATATTCTGTAAACTTTTAGGAAATTAGAATTTTTCTATTTTAGTCTAATTTCAATCACCCCAATCAAACTGATTCTTGGGAGTGATCTTGGGGGTCTAATTTAGGCAACCAAATGTATTTAAATTGCTGTAAAACCTTGGTCATTAATCAATACACAAAAAATTAAAACCCCAAAAAACTATGTTTAATAATTTAGCTTGGTATCAGAGCCAGGTTCCTTTCTAGCGACCGGAAGGTTTTTTGGCTTCATCATTTATCATGACATCCGAAAACCAGTCCATTGCTTCAAAACCAGTCACAATGGTGGAAGTATTGCAACTGTTTTCATAGTTGAACACCAATAAAACCACCATTGAAACCACAAACCAACCCCTCCATATTTCAGAAAAACTAAACCACGGGAATTACACTAAATGGTCCAAATTAATGCAACTCGAGATCGGAGGGCGAGGTAGGCTCAATCACATCACTGCCTCCCCACCATCTCCTGATGATCCTGAGTTCACAAAATGGACACAACGGGACTCAATTGTAATTTCCTGAATAATTGAGAACATTGAACCAGATTTAAAAAATCAATTTCTCGATTACCCAACAGCAAAAGATCTATGGAAGGGGATCGAAACAATGCAGGGCAGCGGGAGAGATGGTTCGCAAATGGTTCGCAAATATTTGACCTCACGATCAATGCAAACAAAATTCAACAAGGGATAGACCCGATTGAGGTCTATTACAGCAAACTCACATCAATTTGGAAGGAAATTGATAGAAGGTTACCAAACCGGATTATTTGCCCAGAGGATAAAACGATTTACAATCGTTTAAACCAACAAAATCGGCTCTACCAGTTTCTAGCAGGGCTCGATGAAACCCTAGACAAAGACCGGTGGGATCTTCTTCACAGGGATCCTTTACCAACAACCGAGGAAGCTTACGCAATTATCCGGCGAGAGCTCTCATGCAGTGGTATAATGAAAACCGCTACAACCCCCTCATCAGGTGACTCACCGGGGATTGGTAGTGGTTTCGCGGCAAAGGGACGGACTAAAAAGCCCAATTTCCGGCGAGAAGATGACCGGGCAAATCTAAAATGCACCCATTGTGGCAGTACTCATCACACTAAGGAAGGATGCTTCAAAATTATAGGGTATCCTGAATGGTGGACTGACCGAAAGAAAAAGGGAGAGAAAAATAGTTTTGGCAAGCCAGCATACACCTCCGGCGAGATGTCGCAGCCAACAAACAGTGAAGGAGGAGTCACTGTAGCATCCGCCACCTCCTCACATAACTCAGGTTTGAAAGAAATGAAAATGGAAGGTATGACAAACCAAACCCCAAAACCCTTTTTATATGAGCACGGTTATCAGGCCATACCTTTAGCAAATATGTTTCAGTCCACTTGTTATAATAACAAACCCACGTACCCAAATTCCTGTAACACAAATAAATCTGTTGGGCTATTGTGCAATCCTGATAAAAATAAAAGGTGGATTTTTTTATTGTGGGGCAACTGATACCATGACCTTTAATATGTCCGATCTCAAAAAAATAAACAAACCCACAAAAAACCATATACAAATAGCCAATGGAGAAAAAATTAAAATAGAAGGCTCGGTTTTAATTAATATTTCAGAAAACATCAAACTACCTAATTGCCTCTTTATTCCCCAATTGTCAAATAAATTACTTTCCATTAGCCAATTAACCAAAGAATTAAATTGTACCATGCTAATGGATTCCACTGGTTGTATTGTGTAGGATTCTCAGACAGGGAAGATCATTGGGCATGGTACTGAAGAGAATGGGCTATACTATGTTGATCAGATGTCCCAACATGGCTGCGCAACGCTTGCTCATGGATCGGTTGAGCACCAACTCTGGACATGGCACCGACGACTAGGTCATCCATCTCTAGGGTATTTAAAAAGACTTTTTTCCTTCTCTTGCTAATTCGAAAATAATATTTAATTGTGAGGCTTGTATTTTGGCAAAAAGTCACAAACATAAGTACCCTAGTAGCAATCACCGAACTGAAACTCCTTTTGTTCTTATTCATTCTGATGTTTGGGGACCAGCTCCCAAATTTAATAATCATGGTTTCTTCTATTATGTTACTTTTATTGATGATTGTACTAGAATGAGTTGGGTATATTATTTGAAAAATAAATCTGATGTGCATGATACCTTTATTTCATTCTATAAAATGGCCCAAACATAGTTTCAAACCCAAATTCGAATCCTTAGATCTGATAATGGGGGGGGAGTACAAGAACCTTGACCTGGAATCATTCACAAATACCAATGGCCTTATCTATCAAACCACCTGCCCTGATACTCCACAACAAAACGGCGTTGCCGAAAGAAAAAACCGAACCCTTCTTGAAATGACTAAGGCCATGATGATTGAATCTCGTGTTCCAGCCCATTTCTAGCCCGAAGCCATTGCCACGGCCAATTATCTCACCAACTGTCTCCCTACCAAAAGCCTTAACTTTGCTACACCTTTAGACACCCTTAAAATTCATAATAGTGTTCCTACTGCCCACTCTTTAGCCCCCGAGTCTTTGGATGTGTTGTATACGTTCATCTCCCCAAACGCAGTAGGAATAAATTATCCCCCCTCCCCCCGAGCAGTTAAATGTGTCTTTGTGGGATATGGGATCAACCAAAAGGGGTACCGGTGTTTCGACCCTGTCACATACCGACTTTACTCTACCATGGATTGTGACTTTCTTGAAACCGAATACTTTTACCACCACCTTAGATCTCAGGGGGAGAGTTCAGTAGAGGATCTAAGTTAGTTGACTTATCCAGAAGTAGATGATCCTGATCCGACAGAACAAGTAGACAAAGCCACCGGGACGACTGACAGCACAATACAGTCCAATACTCAATTTATCCAGCCCGATGAGCCCATTATCACCTTGTCTGAGGATCCAAGGAATGAGGTATGTACTCCTGAATCATGTCATATTCCTGAACCTGAGCCTACTAATGTTTCTTCTGAGGAAGAATCTGCAGAAACAGGTACACCTTCTGAGAATTTGAGAAAAGAAGGTGAAGATAGGTCAGTCTCTGAAACTAACAAATATGAGTTACCTCCTAGAAGCATAAGTGGTATCCCACCAAAGCGGTATGAGGCTCAAAGGTCAAAATATCCAATTTGTAAACCAGGTGAAGGAAACTTGTCCCAAGGGGCCAAGGCTTATAATGCATCAATCTACTCTAAGACCATTCCCACTACAGCAAAAGAAGCTCTCAGAAGCAAGCACTGGAATAAAGCCATGGAGGATGAAATTAACGCACTTTTCCGAAACAAAACATGGGAAAAGTGCGTTCTACCTAGTGGAAAAAGGCCAGTAGGATGCAGATGGGTGTTCACCATAAAGTACAAGGCTGATGGAAGTATTGAAAGGTACAAGGCAAGACTTGTGGCTAAAGGGTACACTCAGACATACGGGATAGACTATGATGAAACCTTCTCACCCGTGGCAAATTTCAATACGATCAGAGTGTTATTCTCAATAGCTGCAAATAAAGATTTGCCCTTACACCAATTCGATGTTAAAATTGCCTTCTTGCATGGTGATCTCTCTAAGGAAGTATACATGGAAGCTCCCCTAGGTTTTTCTCAAGGCTTTAGTACTGGAGAAGGGTGCAGATTATAGAAGGCACTATATGGTCTGAAACAATCTCCAAGAGCATGGTTTGGGAGGTTCACTTCAGCAATGAAGAAATTTGGGTACAAACAGAGCAACTCTGATCACACCTTGTTCTTCAAGAAGAGAGGAGAATTGACTACTTGCCTCATTATATATGTCGATGACATGATTATTACTGGAAATGACAAGGAAGAGATAGATCAGTTAAAAAGGAAGCTTTTCCATGAGTTTTAGATGAAGGACATTGGAAATCTTAAGTATTTTCTAGGAATAGAGGTACTCAGATCACAAAAGGGTATCTTTAATTCTCAAAGGAAGTATGTACTTGACTTTCTGACAGAAACATGTATGATAGATTGCAAACCTGTTGACACTCCTATGGTAATAAATCATGGTCTTCAAACAATCGAAGGGGAAAAGATGGTGAATAGGACACAATGTCAGACACTTGTTGGGAAGCTAATCTATCTATCTCACACTAGACCAGACTTAGCTTATGCGGCAGGAGTACGTGGTTAGTAGATTCATGCATAAACCATAGGAACAACACCTTGCAGCCGTATACAGAATTATAAGATATTTGAAGAAAACTCCTGGAAAAGGAGTTATGTTTGGAAAACATGGCCACTTGGACCTCCATGCCTTCACTGATGCAGACTGGGGATGAGATCGAGATAGTAGAAAGTCCACATCTGGATACTTCACCTTGGTTGGAGGAAATCTGGTTACTTGGAAAAGTAAACGATAGAATGTGGTTGCAATGTCTAGTGCAGAAGCAGAATTTCGAGGAATAGCAAAAGGAATAACTGAAGTCTTTTAACTCAGAAAGTTACTGTCGAAGCTTGGGTATGCACCCAAGAAAAGCTGCAAGCTTTATTGAGACAATATGGCAGCAATCCGTATTTTAGAAAACCCAGTCTAACATGATCGTACAAAGCATGTGGAGATAGACAGACACTTCATCAAAGACAATTTGGAAGAAAAAGTAATAAGCCTTTTGTTTGTCAGATCAGAAGATCAGTTGGCAGATATTTTGACCAAGGCAGTCACGACACATGCATTTGAAGAAGCTTTTTCCAAGTTGGGTGTTGGAGACCCTACGACCTAACTTGAGGGAGAGTGTTAGAAAATAGAAAATATTCTATAAATATTCTGTAAACTTTTAGAAAATTAGAATTTTTCTATTTTAGTCTAATTTCAATCACCCCATCAAACTGATTCTTGGGGGTCTAATTTAGGCAACCAAATGCATTTAAATTGTTGTAAAGCCTTGGTCATTAATCAATACACAGAAAATTAAAACCCTAAAAAACTCTATTTAATATTTTAGCTGATGTGGGCTGGTGGTTTCGGGGTATGGTGGTTTCGTCTAGGTGGGATTGGTGATTTAGATTATGGGTAGGATTAGGAGAAGGGTTTTGAGTTTGCGTTTGGGTTTGGGTAGGGTCAGTGGTGGAGGAGGTGGTGGCGGCTAACTTGCGGGTTGATTGCGAGGGGGTGGCTAAGTTGCAGCCTGGTTGACAGGGAGATGAGGGGGTAGTGGGGCCAAATGGTTGATGGAAAAATGAGTTAGGCTGACGGTGAGGTGAGGTGGTGCACGGTGGCGGCAAGGTTGAGAGAGGTGAAAGAGACATTGTTAATGGTAGGAAGCTTAAAGAGGGGCGAAGGAAGAAGGATAAGAAAATTAAGGGAAAAAAAAAAGTTACCTGAAGTTCAAGTAACCGGTAAAATAGGCTCGGTATAAGAAAATCTAATATTATATAAATAAAGTAGGCATTTTTGGAGAGCATTCGGAGCGCCACGTAAGAAATATACTTATTTCGACCAATAAGAAGAAAGAAATGTATTTTATTTTAGAATTAAAAAATTATGTCGCCACCTAGATAAAAGTAACGAATTAGATTTGATGTATCTAAAATTTTATTGACACGTAGATTATAATCCACAAATTAAATTATTTTTAATGAAAAAAATAAAGTAAAAATATAGGAAAAGATAAAATATTTAAATGATAAACGCTTATAATAAAGTTTGATACCTATCATTATAAGATAAATTTTGATAGTATTTATGATAAGAAATACAAATTGTTCATTAATTATAATTAAATTAAAATTTGTGATACCTACCATTATAAATTGACACATCTTATGATACAAACAAAATTTCGTATCAATAAAATACCCCATCAGGCGAATTTTGTATTAGTAATTTTGTGTTATTTTTTGGTCATCAATGGCCGGGTAATTTTTAGCGTAATTTTTAAAGTCCTATGTTTAAATTAGTATTTCTAATTATTACTTACATTGTATTAATTTGGGATACTCAACAATTATATGTTTATGTTTTATTTACTAAATGTATTTTTACATGCAAATCTAACACATCATACGACACAAATAAAATTTCGTATCAATAAAAAACCTTATCAAGCGAATTTTGTGTTAGTTTTAGGTCATATGTCCGGGTAAATTTTAAAAATCTTATGTTTATATTTTTATTTTTAATTATTAGTTACATTGTATTTATATAGGATACTTAGCGATTATTTTTTTATATAATGGCATACGATTAGATGTTGTATACTTAATATATGGATGGCTTTAATTTGGTTATTTTTGGAGATGATGAAAAAATTCCAATGCATAGATTTGATTTTGTATCGCAATAATTTTTCATTTATTGGTAAATATATTTATTTATTTTATATAAATGTAAAGATTTAGTTTATCTCAATTTCAGTTTGGCTAATATTTCACGGTTCAATTTATCCATTGATGTAGTAAGTTGGTTGTGGACGAGGTTGGTGATTCTATCGAAATAAAAGACATGGTAAAACAATGAATAATGATTTAGGATTCAAATTATTAAAAATTTATCATTTCACATTAAAGATTTTATATAACGGAAAAAATATCATATTTACAATTTATTTATATTTAATAAATTCATTATAAATTATAGTAAAAAATAAATAAATATTAAACCATTGTAATTTTGTCTGAAATTATTAAATACAATAAATCAAATAATTAAAAATCTTAGATGAAAAAATCGTGCATCGCACGGGCTTTCATCTAGTAGATAGTAAACTTAGGATTATATATTCAGGATTAATCAAAAGGTTGGATTATTTTGAAAAAATGAGGCAAAGGTTGGATTATTCCTATTAAATTTTCCCTTAAATTATTCACATACTCAACTTAAGTTGAAATTTGTGATTATACTTAACTAGTTATTAGCAAGGGTAATACCTCGAATTTATCACTATAAATTTGTAAGGCTAATCCAAATTAAATTTAGAAATTTTAGAAAGTTAGTGTTCAACTATCACTACTACATTTATGGGCATATTGTAACACCAAAAATTGTTACAAGATGGTCTAAATCCGTTACAATAGACCTATTGTAACACCATATTCCTTGTTACATTAGCTGCTTTAATAATAGATCTATTGTAACACTACCTAATCAATTAATTGTAACAATGTATTTAATCTATTATAACGTGTCAAGCCTCTATAAAATGGTGTTACGTTTGCTTTATTCTAGTTACAATAGAATGCAAAAGTAACGGATAATTGAGATCATGTGAGAACCAAGGTGAACAATGAAAACTAGGAACCAATCTTAGTTGTTGATCGCACTCCATCTGATGGCTCACGTTTCACCCGCATTTATTAATGACATTTTTGTAATTTCGCGGCTTTTCAAACTTTTTTCCAATTTTTTAACTTTTAAGGCAATTTCATTTAGTTTACTAACTTTTCATTTACTTTATAGAAATAAAACTGGAAATCACTTTGCAAAGTTGAAATATTACGAAAATACCATTAATGACATGGGAAGCATGTGAACCGTCCAATTAACATGATCTAAGGGCTTAGATTAGTTCCTAGTTCTTATTTTAGCCTTGGTTTTTATTATAACTTGGTTCTTATTTTAGCTCTTATTTTAAGCTTCATTAATGGCAAAATTGTAAATAATACTTTTTCCCAATTTTTTTTCCCTTGTGTTCCTCTCCATCTCTTTCTTCCATGTTCATCACTTTTTTCCCATTTTTTTTTCTCCGAGTATTTTTTTAACAAAAAAAAAAAATTCCCCATTTCTCTTTCTCTCTCCCTTTTCCTCCTCCTTAATTATCTCTTCTCCCACCTTTTTTTTCTAGCTCATATTTCAAAAGGATTTTCATGAAAATAATAAATATGTCGTGGACAATACATAGAAGAATACAGGGGATTATATCCAAGAGTAAGATTAAATAATATGCATAATACATTTTTTATGTAAGAAATATGCATAATTTACAAATGTGCATATTTATTAACAGAATTCATCAAACCCTCTGTACTAATTAAAGATGAACATTTTAATCCAATCCAAGTAGTGAACCTTGGAAATCTGATCCTTAGTACCGGGTTTGCAATTTGCTCATAACTACATTTACTTTCTTATCTCTCAAATTAGAAGTTAGAAATAAGCTTTAATGGAGGGGAGAGAGAGAGTTTGTTTCGATGATGAGTAAAATGAAAGAAAAATCGATTGTGCATAATTTTTGAATTAAATGTGCATAAATTTTGTACTAAATATGCATAATTTTTCAATTAAATGTGCATAAATTTTGTACTAAATGTACATAATTTTTATGCTCAATGTGCATTTTCCGCAGGTGAAATGTGAACCATTGGATTCATTTGTACGATCAAGATTCCTTCTCATCCTTCTCATTTTAAGATCCTTCTCGTTGGATCCCAGCCCTATATATATATATATATATATATATATATATATATATATATATATATATATATATATATATATATAAAAGAACACTTTCAGTAACCGGTCATTGGGACTAGAGGCAAAGTGATAGCGTAGTTGGAATTATTACATAATAAACCTTAGTTGAAATTAATTTTAAGAATTAATTAAATCGCTAATAATTGGGACTATTAAAGCGTATTTTTTCTAAAATAAAAATTTAAACAATTAAAGTTATACACGACATACGTGAAAATAAAAAATGTACAGTAAAAAAAAGGTTTGATGATTGAATTGCAATAACCATCCTTTAGTACTACTTAGATATGGTAACAATTATAATAAAAAGTAGTATTTAATGTATTGATTTTTCTTTGACAACATTAATTGTATTTAATGCTATATATATATACTATTGATCAATATTTTCCATATCTGTAGTGATTTGTTTGGATAGAATATCTCTTGTGAAATTTAATGATAGGCCAAGTGTCAAAAATAATTTCTCAATTATTTATCTTTCTCTTATGAGTATATATTTCGTGACACACATAGCTTGCATAATGCCATATTCTTAAGAGTTGCATTCGATTGAAGTCAAATTAAAGGTTTGGATGTATGATATAATAATAATAATTTTACTTAAAATAGGTTTTTAGTTTATTGATTAATTTTATGAAAACTTAATTTGCTGAGCAATGGATGTGAAAAGTATAGTATACTTGGTAGCTTTGTTGTTACTTTTAATTAATCATAGAGCAAAATGTCATCGTTTGACTAGAGAAGAGCTTGATTATGAGAAACAATTTGAGCTCCTCCAGAAACCAAGTGTTAAAACAATTAAGGTATGTTATTTATTTTAATTTGTTCTTGTAGGATATATTACGAATCATTTCCTCAATTTGGTGATTTTTTAAAATGATTTATATTTATTACAAATTGTTTTGACTGTTGGTTACTGCCCAATAAGGCTCACATCCAATGATTTCAATCTTATTAACTTGATTACATTTGGCCTATTACCCCATAAAAAACAACTTAAAGGCCTGAAGGAAGTTTTGTTAATCTAGGCCCTGAATTAAAGCTACGCCCAAAATTTAAGTCTTAAAAAATTGTAAATAATTGAGGATTGAAGATGAAGAGGTTTGTGATTGAAAGTTGTCAAATTATTACATTCCTATTTATTAGGGGTGTCAATCAGGTTAGACCTGATCAAATGTATAGATGCCGGGTTAGCCTTGACATCCTACTCATGCCCATGCAACGGGCCAGGTCGGGTCAAGCTACGGGCCAAAACTTGATGCCCAAACCCATCTCATTTGAGCCTATCGGGCTTTTTTCAGGCCATTCGGGCCTGGTCCTTTGAGGGTCAATCTTACTATAACTTAATTTTGATGAAGACAATTTTTTTTTAAAAAAAAATTGTTTTCGTTAATAAAATCGAAAATAGAACATTCATTAACAGTCTTAAAAAAACCAATATAAAGCATATCATTTAATTGTTTTAAAAAAACGGAAATACAACATATATCAAGTCCACCTTCTTTATTTTTTATTAATAGTCAAGTCTAATACCTTCTGATATGCACTATGCAGTGATTTAAAATTATGATATGCTTCTTTTTAACATTTAATTCGAAAATTCAATTAATAAAAAAAGCAAACAACTAAAAAACCAAACTGAATATCTCACTCGGAAAAACAAAAAAAAAAAATAAAAATCATATCATTTGAAAATTAAAAAATACATCATATTTTCTCCACCAAAAAAAAAAAAAAAAAAACATCATATGATTAGATAAGATCTAAATCAGGTTAACGATTCGGTTTTTGGTTTGGTTTATCGATTTTTGGTTTATAACGGGTTAAAAATAATTAGTGGGTCGGTTTGGTGTTTTTTTGCGAAATCTATTCGGGTCGGGTCCTAATAAGTTCGGGTTGAATTCAGTCGGTTTGAAAATAAGTTTTGCTAGTTTAAAGGGGGTTTTGGGTCAAAATAGATAAGGTCCTTATCGGGTCGGGTTGTGATCACTTCGGGTCATAATTGGTTCTGGTTAAACTCGGTCGATTTGAAAACGGGTTTTGCAAGTTTAAAGCGGGTTCCGAGTCAAAAAAATTGGGTCTTAATCGGGTTGAGTTGTACTCGATTCGGGTCGGTAATAATCTATTTGGGTTGAACTGAGTCGATTTGAACGGGGTTTGATTAAAAAATAAATTGGATAAACTCGATTCAGGTTATAATCGGTTTAATTATGTTGATGTAAGTTAGTTTGTAAATTGGCTATGGTTCAAAATAGATCGAGTGAAAATGGGTCGAGTCATTATCAATTCAGGTCATAGTTGGTTTATGTTGAACTAGGTCGATTTGAAAATGAGTTTACCCACTTTAAAGAAAGTTTCGGTTCAAATCATATCATGTTAAAATCAGATAATTATTAAGTATGGTTGATCAGATAATGAGAAGAAACGGGTCAAGAAATAATTGAGTTAAGTCTTTAAGAAGTTAGTTTTATTGAGTAGTGAGTTAAAACGGATCAGGTTAAAAATGAGACGAGTTTTAAAAAAGTAAAAGCAAAATTAAGAATCGGGTCCGAAATAAAAATAAATATTCGGGTTTTACGTAGGAACGGATGTGGTCAAAATTGAGTCACGACTTAGACAAGTTGGATTGATTGGGTAACAAATTGGAATGAGTCGGGTTGTAAATAGTCTAATAATAAGCACACACCTCAAGTTAATTAGGTAGCAAGTCAGATATGCTTTGGTTATAAACTCACAATTAATATGGGTCATAAAACAAGCTATTTTGATTGATTAGTGGGTTAAAGGAGATAGAAAAAACGTGGGGTGTAGAAGGAGATAGATAAAATTGGGGAAAAAAGTTACACGGGTTGTAAACGGTTCGGCCATAATAAGTTACAAGTTGTAAAATGTTTTGGTCACAACGGGTTATAGCTTAGGTTGTAAATGGCTCAAACATAACGAATTAAGGGGTTAACGGTTTGGTCATAATGGGTAATGGGTTGTAAACGATTCGATCGTAATAGGTTACGTGTTATAAACAATTTGGTCACAACAGGTAACATGTTTAAAACGGTTCGGTCATAACAGGTTACAAGTTGTAAATGGTCCAATCACAACGAGTTACATGTTGCAATGGGTTTTGTTGAATTTAAACAACTTTGGTTTAAAATGGCTTGGGTTACTATTAGGTTAAGACACAATCAATTCGGGTTGTTCCCGGTTTCGGATTGTAACGATTCGGCTTGATAATGGGTACAAGTCATTAACTGTTTTCAAAAATTCGGTTCATTTCAATTTGGATTTTTACAAAATTGGGTCGGGTTAATTTTCGATTTTCATAAAACAGATTATTAGCGGTTTGATTACTTTTTAAAACTATTTGGAACAGCTAAGTTCACTAATTCAGGTATGTTTTTGACAGCTGTATTATTTATATATAGGTATTATACAGACTCTTTATGCATGCGATACTTCTGTAAATTTCCAAATTTCAAAATGCATGTAAAGTCCCTCTACATAAAAAGGGGGAGGACGTACTCTAAGTCTCTAATATGCTTAAGAAAATAAATTTCAGAAAGTCTTACATCTTTTCAAATACAATATCCTCTACATTTGCGCGGTAAAAACCCTGATGGATCATATATGTGCAATAAAAAAAAACTTTTTATTCTATTTTTAAAATCAAAATAAATACTCCGCGCACACACGCACACCTCTAGATATCAATTCTTTTTGGTTGGCACATATATACATTAGTTAGGAATAATTTACTAGAAGATATTCTCAAATTGTGAATTGTGGATGAAGTAGTTGTTTACAAATTTTAAATTTTAAGGTAGTTATTCAAAAAAATGAAAATATATAAGGTAAAAAAGCATTTTTATTATATACAATTCATAAGTTAGAAAACTAATTATTTTTATTTAATTGCAGAATGAGTATGGAGACATATATGACTGTGTAGATTTTTATAAGCAACCTGCTTTTGATCATCCGCTATTGGCAAACCACTCATTCCATCCCGAGGTTCAAGTGAATTCATTTGTATTGGCTATATAAATATCAAATTAACATACAAGTATTTCCTTATATATTTACCTAATGTATATGCTTATATTAATTTTAGATGAAACCATCTACTCTCCCTTTTGAAGAAGAGTCAAAAATTTCTCAAGCAAGAGAGGTACTTACCAATATGAAGTCAAGAGGTGAAGGTTGCCCAACAGGAACAATTCCTATTAAAAGAGTGAGCAAGGACGATTTTATCAAAATAAAACGATTTACAGAAGATTATAATTCACGAATCAAAAGTAATAGTTTGGAAAATCATGTAAGTGTTTTTTGTTTTTTATTTTAAATACAACAAAAAAATAGTTACTCGTAAAACATAGAAGAATGTCTTGTATAAGGCACGTAGAATTTCGTTAATTTTATTGAAAGACGATCGTTTGAAGGGTAAAAATTTCTATTATGCAATGCGTGGTTAATCTAATACATTATGCGTATTTTTTAAAGGTAAACGTTATGTAAAAAATATTATAATTTTCTATACAATATATATATATATATGGGTAACTTTAAATATTTTAAGGGTAACTTTAACTTGTCTAATTTAACATAAAGTTAAGAAAAGTCCACCTTATAAGTTAATATGTTGTCCTTGATGAAATTAAAGCAAGCTTGTTTTAAATATTTTTATTTTGTTTTTACTCAGTTTGCAGTTGTTCAAACTCCCAATCCAAATCCAAAGTATTATTATGGAGCAAAAGTTATACTTAGCGTTCATAACTTTAATGTAAGCGCTTCTCAATATTCTTCGGCTGGAATGACACTTACAAATGGAGATGACACCATAAAATTTGGATGGACAGTAAGTCATCAACCAAGATATTTTCATACTTTTTGATCATATATACGTAGTACTTTTTATTTGTGGTAATATATGCTTAGTACTTGACTTCTTATTTGTTGTTTTTCGGATGTTATTATTTGTCTTTTTTGTTTTCGGAGGTTATAATTTTCAATGTTGCTGTAATTTTATATTTTGGTATAACAAAAAATGTATTATTAAATGTTCATTTTGTTTGATTCATTTTATTATGTAAATTCTTTTTTTTTTTTAAATTTGATGATAAATTTACATATGCACACATCTTTACTAATTTCGTTCTGCATTTAAGAATTTATTTTTTCTCTACGTATCAATAGAAATTTGAAACCATTTATTATTCTACTTAATTTATATTGTGTTTGCTTGGCTAATAATATATATCATGATAAAATAATCAAGAAATTTGGTTTAATGATACAACGCAACAATATTAAATGATAGATAATCTATGAGCACATCTCAACTACTAAATTAAACGAGAAATTTGTGATTCATTACAAGCATGTCACCCTATAATGTTTAGAAAGTCTTATTTAAATTAAATAAATATAAAGTTTAAATTAATGAAAGTTTAATGTATGTATTTATACATCTAATGATATTAATTTACAATTGAAATTAAAAATACAAAAATTAACTGATAAGTAGGCAATAATCAGGACGTGAGGATAAGGCAAAATAGAAGTTAGATACGAAAAGAAAGACTTTATTCACTACGCTAGCTAATTACTTTGTACTTGTATCGTCTTTTCTACTAATTGTTTATGTAGTTTAATTTGTTAAACAATTGTTTCTATTTTGTTATCTTCTACTTGATAAACATACACTTTTTCAGTATGAATATAGATTAATCCGACATTAAACAACGACGCTCGCATCGACTTTTCCAATATCTTCATGTAAGTATATGATGATTATCTTTTTCTATCTAATTATTATTCCCTCCTTCAATTTTTATTTTTTATGCTTTGACTTTTATGTTCAACTTTTATAACTTTGAGTGTAAAAAATCACAATTATAGATATCAAAACTATATCATATGAGATCATTTGTTAGGTTGGGTTTGAAATGTATTTTCTATAGATCGGTGTCTCATAACTCGAATTTTATTGAATATTTACCTAGTCAAAGATGAACATTACAGACCGAGAAATTCTAAGTGTAAAGAATTAAAAGTGATGAAGGGAGTATACTTTTGTACAAATAATACTTGCTGCTAAAAGGCCAACTTAACCAAAAGTCCAAACTAATACGGAGTAGTAAAATACTATAATTGATTTTTATATTCTACACCTCTTCACATAAGAGCCATTTTATATTCTTCATACACATTGCTAAATATACCACATGAAAAGAATGTTGGATAAATGAGATTCAAAGTCGTGACCTTTTTGTCATATGATGTTCCTTATTGATACTATGTTAAAAGTTAAAGCATTTGGTTAAAACCCATGATTGGTTTTTATTATTATTTTTTAAATTCTATCGTTTAAATTGGTATAACATTATAACAAGAGAGTCATATCTTAAACATAAGTATGAAGCAACATGTTTTTACACTACCTTTGGAAGCAATATGAATCCATATGCATGCATAAAATTCCAGCAAGTGTTATTGAAGATAGCCTGATGATGCACTATACATTTGTACTCAAAATACCATGATTTAATATATAATTGCCTTTGTTTTATTTTATAGGCTGGTTATTCTCAAGTACATTGTTTTAATATGTTATGTCCCGGATTTGTTAATGTTAATAAAGACGTACCTATTGACGAAGTGTTTGAACCAATATCAAAAAGAGGAGGGCCAATATATATTAATACGTTCAGTATATTTAAGGTAAATAATACTAAACTTTGATTTTTTTAATTTTTTTTTTAATTTATATATATATATATATATATATATATATATATATATATATATATATATATATATATATATATATACATGCAATAAGAATCCATTAAATTAAAGTTTCTCTTTGTTGTTGCTTTTTTTATACTCTCCCATTCAGTTAGTGTAAACATGCAACTTAGTAAGAAATTATTGTTTGAAAAATGTGAGTGAGTGTAAGATAAAGTATCATAGTAAGATAAAGAGAGTAAAAGAATTGTAGTTGTTTAAGACAATAAATGTTATAAGGTAAGCAAGGGTATGTTAAAATATGTAATTCCTGGAAATTTAAAAAGATAAGGTGGTAAAAGTGGTCAAGGTTAGCCATAAGCAAAAGCTAACGAACGCCCCATGGGCGTTGGATAAGCTAATTAAAAGTAGAAATATTGTATTACAATGAAAGTTAATTACACCGATCGATGCGTGATGTAGACATGCATTCCCAAATATTTTAAAGGCTTATCAAACACCCTGGGGGTGTTCGTTAGCAAGATTCATAGAATAAATCAAAGAGAGTAGAACAAAATAACCAACTAAAATAAAAATGAATAGAACAAATCAATGCAGATTGTCTTTTCTAGTAAAATTACATTTATACTTTGATTAAGTTGTGAATTAAGGGATTATAATTTATACTTGTTATGTTTAATGTGTAATTACAAAGGATCCGAAAGATGGAAATTGGTGGCTTACATTGGGGGAGGAAAACACTTTACAAAGATTTTGGCCTGGAACGATATTCAATGGATTGTCAATGTTAGCAACTACCGTTGCATTTGGTGGAGAAGCTTATGGCCCTGTCGATCAACCTTTACCACCTATGGGAAATGGCTACTTTGGTGTCGCAGATCCAAAATATGCTGCTTATTGTCGTGCAATTGCAGTGTTGGATGAAAATTTGAAGGAAGATAATGACCCTCATGAGATTGAAACTTATAGAGATGATTCACATTATGTTGTCACTGATTATGGATGGACTAATAGATTTGGACGCATCATGTTCTATGGTGGTACTACTCCACAAATATGATGTATGTAGTATTAGTTCTTCAACTTTTCAAGAAATTATATCCAGTGTATGTTTGCTAAGATTAAGGGTGATTAAAATGTGTTTTGGACTTGGAAAATGGAATAGACTGTAGACAATTATCACATAGCAAAAGAGTATAATTTATTTTATTTGTATATATATATATGCACACAATAAGTTAAATAATATGTTAATTATGATTATAAACCATAAATATTTTAAACCTACAATAATTTCATGGATGATTTATGGGATTACAACTCTCGTGGATCTCTTGATTCATCTCTGCAAAGGGTTATGGCTTTGATATTTGTTTATAGGACAGGGCCTTGTCGGCTAAATCCATACTATACCTATAATGTTTGATAGTAGGGAGAAGATGGGGTCTTTTTGACTTATTTCACCCGAGCCTTGTTAAACCCTAGAAACAACTCTAGCCTCTTTATATAGAATGTCATAGATTAGTAAACAAGATAATTATCAAATATTCTACGAGATCTTGAAGATAAATATCTTATATTTTTTTGATATTATCTCCTTATGTACATATATCTAACACTTAAAAGTTAACAAAACTTTGATGTTAACAAATGTCCCCTCGAGACGTGTTGTGGAGATTTGACATCGAATGCAACTTGGTCTCGAAATTTTCTTGTAGAATTTGAAAGCAAATTTAGCATGGCCCCATTAAATCTACGAGTTTTGAAACTTGAAGAGCAGAGATGAATAGGGAAAATCATCCCACTAAGTGTGCCAATTTGTAAACCAAAAAAATTCCAATCTACGGTATAAAATAAAAGAGGCAAAAATTATATGCGGAAATAATAATTTTATTGATAATGTGTGGGTTATAACTCTCGTATATCTCTTATCTCCAAAGGGCTTGATTTACAAATATTATGGAGGAGATGTTGTAACATCCTAATCCCAAATTAGGGTGGGGCCGACCTATTGTCACGAAATACACATCAAGGGCCAACAATTGTCCTCACAGACCAACACAAGTTCTTCCAGCACATTTTGTCCTCACTCATCATGCACACCGCGGGAAAACTTCTCCTAGCCAAGCACGCTTAACTGAGAATTATCTTATCATATGAGCTCCCTAAACAAAAGATGCGCATCTTGTTGGTATGAATAGTTTATTAAATTCCTTTAAAACAATCATGAAAGGTATTACAGATGCGGTTTTGTGACTTATTCTGTCTAAGCCCCTTAAAACTAGAGGTGATCAACAATGGCCCGGCCCGCTAGCCCGGTCCGATCCGGTCCGAAAATAGGGCGGGTTTGGACAAGCTAAAAATCATTTTTTTAGTTAAAAGCCCGAAAAAACCCGTTTTGGCCCGACATGCCCGTCACTTTTGGGCGGGTTTGGGCATGACATTTGATATTAAGGCCCGACCCGGTCCGACCCGAATTTATGACCACCTCTACTTAAAACCCTAACAACAATTCTTTTTATGTAGAGAGTCGTAGAGTAGTATACAAGATAATAATCATATATTCTATGAGATTCTGAAGATAGATATTATCTAACATTTTTTGATATTATCTCCTTATTTACATATGTAACATCTAAAAAAATAACAAAATTTCGGTGTCAATAATGGTTATTTAATAACTTTTGAGCTAGCTAATTAAGAGACTTACTAATTGGTTTTAATTTGGGAAAAAATTGGAAAAAATAATCCCACCTTTGCTCAATCTTTGAGTATTTTGGAAACAAGCAAACCTTTACCCCCTTATTTTCTCAAAAAAAATCCTTGACTGATTTTTAAAATTATTAATTAATTGATTTTAGAAGGTAATTTGCCACATGTCACCTTCTAATTATTTTTTTTTAAAAAATAATAATTTAAAAGTTAAAAAGAACCAGCCCCTCACTTCCTCGATCCCCCACATGAACCAATCCCTAATCACTGCCATCGCGCCGCTTCACTTTCTCTCTCTTTGACAAATTTTATTTGTTCGGGTGGTTTTTTGTGGTGGTTGGGGTTGATTTTCGTGAAGTAAAGGTTGCTTATAGGGATGAATAGGGTGGTTTGGGGGTGGATGAAGCTTTCAAGCTTTCATTGCTTCTTATTTTTTTGAATCATATTTTTTTTTTACTGTAGCATTAGGATGAAAGATTGAATTATTTGGTGCGTTTTAGGTCAGATATTTGAATCAGACTTTTGGGCTGTTTTTGTTTTCGGTTCTTTGTGTTTTCGTGTGGGTTTCGATTGGCTCGGGTTTTAGGTGGGTTTTAGCTGGTAAGGGTGGTTTCGATAGTGGAGGTTTGGGTTTTATGGTGGTTGCAAAGGTGGAGGTTTATGGTTAAGGTAGTTTTGGGGTAGAGAACTAGGAGGGTGGTGGTTTCGGGTCGGGACGTGGGTGGTGGGGATAGGGTCAGTTTAATTGGTTCTTGGGTAGAGTTGGTGGTGTTTTCCAAGGTGGTTTTCATGGAGGTGGGTGGTGAGGTGGGAGGAGAAAGATTAAAGGAAAAAAATATTAAAAAAAAATAAAAATAACATGTTAAATAGGTAGGAGGTAAAAAGATTTGTTTTGAGAAAATAGGGGGTAAAAATTGGTTCGTTTTCGGAATATGCAAAGGTTGGCTTGTTTTGAGCAAGTCGACTAAAGATGGAATTGTTCTTTTCAATTTTTCCTTGATTTTGTGTAATTAACTATTTCAGAAATAAATTGAAAATGTAGAAGCAACTTGATTTAAAACAAGTTTTGTTTCTCATATTTTAGAGGTTGGGACACATGTAAATAGATGATTCATCCGAACTATAATTAACAAATTAGTTTTTAATGGAATTTGTTAATTATAATTGTTTCGCATAAGTAGTCCATTTATACTTCTTTTGTTTGCTTTTAGTTGTAAATTTCATTTTTACACTTCGTGTATGAATTTAAATTTTGAATAAAAATTCATTTGAATCTTCCCTAGAAATAATATTTTGGTTTTTTTATACTTAATAAATCTTGTACAAAATATATAATGAATAGTGAAAAAAGGTAAATGTGTCAATTATTTATAAACAGAGGCGGTTTGTTATTTTTTTCTAAATTTGTGGTTTATAAATGTCATATGACTATTACTCCGTAATTAATAATAGTACTAGTATTATTCTTCCTCCCGTAGTATAAAAAAAATATATACGTAGTAAAAAAAAATCATTAGCATATACGAAGTACTACCTACAAAATATTGGCTCACCTGGCAAGATTTTTACCTTATATCCTAGAGGTTTAGGGTTTGGATCCTATCAAGTGAGAGTCTTTGTTAATATGGATTCCCTTACCCTCCCCTCTACTCCTAAGTGCCTGGCCCGCAAATATTGGACCACAAAAATGGTAAGTGTTGAGGTCTGGTTAGGAACTACTTTAAGTACTTGACATAGTTATCATTTTTGTCCATCCCAAAATACTTGACACTTTACTAAATAAGGAATAGGACCACTAATAGAAAAAATTTCGTATATTCTCTTTGGGACCACAAACCAAAACCCAATAAAATCCTACATTTTCTCTCTCCTTAATACCCTTACCTCCCCTACTTTTTGTTTTCTTAAGAGAATCCTTTATATAATAAACAAATGTTTAAAATAGACTCACTTGTAATTTTTTTAAACTATGTGTTAACCCCTACATCCCAAGTACTATGGGACAGAGGGAGTATAACTTAAACAAACTTGTCAAAAAAAACAAAATAGCTTAAACAAGCTTCGGGCCCCCTAAACCAATTTCTCCATAGCTGACTCCTCAAACTCACTCTCGCTTTCTCTTTCCTCCGTTGAAGCGTACTTTGAGTATCCGATCCATTTTGTGGTAAGATTTTATTTTTCATCATCGAATATCAATTTCACAATCTACTATTAATCGTTTATTTTATTCAATTTAGGGTTCTTCTGAGGTAAATAGATTGTTGAATTATTTGTTGTTAAACCCTGTTAAGATAAGTTAGTATATATTAGCATATATTTAGGGAATATATTTTATATTTCATTGTATTACCTTTTGGTATGATATAGATTTCCCTAAGCTAGATATATTAGAATCCTACCTTAATTAGGTTGATATGTATTTGTATAAATATTTGATTGATGATGAATGAGAAGGATGAGATCTCACATTTATTTTGATATGGTATTATGAGCCAAGGTTAAACCCTAATTTTTTTTTCTTTCTCCAAATTGTTGAAAGAAATAAACCAAAAACACAAGTAGAAATTGATTTTCTTTGAGTGATGGGTGAGAAAACTACCATAGACTTGACATATATTACCTAGGATCAATGATGCTCCGGGTAATGTCATTACTCCAATACAATCGCGAGGTGAAAATTATGACGAGTGGGCTCATTAGACGTTCTTTGATGGCCAAGAGGAAATTTGGCTTTGTAGATGGTACAATTGCAATGCCGAAAGATGCTGCGAAGCTTGAGGATTGGATTAAGGTTCAATTTATGTTGGTGTCGTGGATTACCAATACGCTAGATTCGAAGATTCGATCAATGATTGGTGACTATGATGATGCAAGTGTGCTTTGGACGAATCTCAAAAATAGGTTCTGCGTGGTTAGAGGGACTCGAGTGTGTCAACTGAAGACATCACTAGGTGAATGCAAACAAGTATCTACGGAGACTATAGCAGACTATTTTGGTCGGCTATCGAAAATTTGGATGGAACTATTAAATTATGTGCGTGTTCCTAAATGCAAGTGTGGCAAATGTGAGTGTAGCATTGTTGCACAAGTGGACAACATACGGGAGGAGGATTGTCTCCATTATTTCTTGATTGAATTGGTTTAGACTCACATTATGCGGCACTTTGGGCTCAGCTACTCGCACAAATCCCATTACCAAGCGTTGATGTGGCTTATCAGAATGTAGTCATGGCATGGCAGAGAGGTTGCGTGAAGGGAGTTCGAAGGTGGATAATGTGATGACTTTCAAGATGGACTCAATATCGAAGCAGAGATTTGTGGACAACAGTGATAACTTTTGTAATCAATGTAACAGAGAAGGACATGATGAAGCGGGCTGTTTTCAGCTCATTGGGTACCCCGAGTGGTGGGGTGATCATGGCCACGGTGGACGTGGTCGTGGACGAAGAGTGAGACGTGGCAGTGGGGGTCGTGGAGCACGGAACAGTGGTAGAAGCTCCACACTGTCATCATCGTCCTCAGCAGAGTTCAGTTCGTGCAAACAAGATGGTTGGAGGCTCTTCGAATGGGCAGCAAACCAAGCCTACCTTGATTGATGATGTGGCTGGTTGGTGGGAGTCTATGCTACTCAAATTCAACAATTTTGGAAATATTAAATCCAAAAAATAAGCAATTGCACGGTAAGACAAATACTATACCTTGGATTGTTGATACAGGGGCTTCCAATCATGTTACGTGTGATTTTACACAACTCAAACATGTAAAGAGAGTTCAAAATTGCCCTGTTGGCTTGCCGGAGGACAGTCCGCCAATGCGGATCAATTAGGGCGGTGATATTGCCAGGATGATTACAAATTGATAAAGTTCTTTTTGTCTCTAAATTACACTACTAGAAATAGGCCGTTTTCCGACGGATTTGTTCCGACGGACTTAAATTCCGTTGGAAAATTCGAATATCCGACGGAATTTTGGTCTATCTAAAAAAGCCGTCGAAAAATATAAGTTGCGACGGAAAATCCCTCGGAAGTATTCCGACGGATTTTTTATCCCTCGGAATTTACTGCTTTCGACGGAATATTCCCTCGGAAAATTCCTTCGAAACATTTAAATTCCGAGGGATAATAATCCGTCGGAACCTATTAATTTCCTACGGTTTTAAATCCGTAGGAAAATTTCCGACGGATTTTAATTCCGTCAGAAATTTCTGACGGAATGTAGGCCTTTTCCGACGGAAATTTATTTAAAAAAGAAAAAAAAACAAAAATAAATCCTTAAACTAAAACCGGACCCCTACCCCCTTCCCTTTTTCATTTCTCTTTCTCTCTCCCCGCCCCTTTTGCATCTCTTCCTATTCATTTCTCTTTCTCACTCCTCTCTTCCTCCCCTCCTCCTCTTTCTCTCTCCTCTCCTCATCTCTTTCTCTCTCCTCACCTCCTATTTCACCGCAACCCATAAACGGCTTCCCTAACTCACCGAAGCTTTAACACCCATAAATGGCTCCAGTTTTCCGACGAATTTTCCGGGGACGACTGAGGTTCGGCGTCAAAACGAGGCTTGACTCGATTTCATCAACAAAAACCTAAACACCAATTGTAGATCTTGTAATTTAGGTTTGTGTTTAGATCTAGTTTTTTTTTTTTTTTTAATAAATGTTTAGATCTAGTTAATTGTACATGTAATTGTAATTTTAATTTATAAAACTTATTAGACAATTATATATTTATACATTTCTATTAATTTTCCTTGTTTAATTTTGGTTTTTTGAATTTTTTGGGGTTTTTTCAGGTTTTGTAGGGTTAATGGTGGTGGTGTCGGTGGTGGTGGGGTGGGCTATTCTGGTGGTGTCGGTGGTTATGGGGTGGGGTTGTGGTGGTGTGGGTGGCGTGGGGGAGGTTTGGTGGGTTATTTGGTGGTTCTGGGTTGGGTTTGTTGGGACTGGGTGGGGAGATGGGACTGGGTTTGGTTTGGTGGGTCTGGGTGGGGTAGGGTGTCTGGGGAGATGGGTCTGGGTTTGGTTTGGTGGGTCTAGGTCTGGGTGGGGTGGGGTGGGGTGTTTGGTCTGGGTGGGGTGGGGTGTCTGGGTGTGGGGAAAAAAGGTTGGGGACGTGGTGGGTGGTGTGGGCTGGTGGAAGGGGTGGATCTGGGTGGGGATTATGGTGCCTTTTTTTTTAATTTTTTTTTATTTACTTTTCCGGCGGAAAATTCCGTCGGAACATCTCCCCCACTGACGGAAATTTCCGTCGGAACATATCCTACTCCGACGAAACCTTGCGACGGATTTTCACTTAAAGTCAACAAAAGCGCCGACAAAACATAATACGTCGGAATAGACCTTTCCGACGGAATATCGCGAAATTCCTACAAAGTGTAATGCGACGGTGCTTTCCGACGGAATTCCGTCAAAAATGGGCATTTCCGATGGAATTTCAGGGTTTTTCGACGGATTTTTTCCGTCATTGGTTGACTGTTTTCTAGTATTGTTAACTTGCAATTTGATTTCGACAACTCAGTTGCATGATGAATCTAATTGTACATTGCAATTTACTAACAAAATATGTGTTGTATAGGACCGGAAGACGAGGAGGGTGATTGGAATGGGTGCACATGAAGATAGACTGTATATTTTCCGTGGTGTCCTTCAAGTGAAGGTTCTAGGCTTCTAGCAATGGATGTAGAGTCTTCGTTTGATCTATGGCATCAACGGATGGATCACCCTTTAGAGACAGTATTGAAGTTGATTCCAATTGTGAGTAGTTCTTCTAGGAGACATAGTAATAAAGCATGTGATGTTAGTCCTCGTGCTAAACAATCTAGGTGTAGTTTTCCGATTAGTGAAAATAAAGCAAGTTGTATATTTGAACTTGTTCATATATATTTGTGGGGTTTGTAGAAAACACCTTTTTCTTATGGAACATATTATTTTTTAACAATAGTTGATGATTTCTCTAGAGGAGTTTAGATTTATTTGTTGAAAAATAAAACTGATGTTGAAAAAATGTTCTTGAATTTTGTTGCTATGATTAAACGTTAATTTGATCAAGTGATTAAAATTGTTGGAAGCGATAATGGAACGAAATTTAATTCCTTGCGTGATTATTTTGTTGAAAATGGCATGATTTTTGAGACATTGTGTGTGGGAACACCACAATAAAATAGAAGAGTTAAGAGGAAGCATCAACATATATTGAATGTGGCAAGGGCATTGAGATTTAAAGGTACTTTTCATTGAAATTTTGGGGAGAATGTGTTTTATTGGCTTGTCATTTGATAAATATAACTCCAACACCTTTGCTTGAAAATAAAACACCGTTTTAAATTTAGTTCAATAAACCACCATCATATGAGTATATTCGTGTTTTGGATTGTTTGTGCTATGCTCATAATCAAAGGAGTAAGGGAGATAAATTTACTAGTCGGAGTAGAAAGTGCGTGTTTTTGGGGTATCCATTTGGGAAGAAAGGATGGAGAGTTTATGACTTGGAAACCGAAGAAAGTTTTGTATCTCGAGATGTTAGTTTTTTTTAGAATAATTTTCCGTTTAGTACTCAGAATAATGTGGCGTTACCTAGGGAAAGTCAAGTGCCTATGGTGGACGGGTATTTTAGTGATGATGAGTGGCTTGGTGGAGGTGAGGAGAAAGATGCAGTGCGCTCTGCAACCAGGCTGCGGCAAGGAGAGGAAGGCCGCAACATGGCTGCGGAGGAGCCTACCCAGCCTACTGTACCTACTGTACAACCTACTAAGGGCCAGCAGGCGTGATCAGCCAGCAGCAGCTCGAGGCTACGTAGCAGTGGCAACAGGTGTGTGAGGGGGGTGTGAGCAGTGCACAGTTGACAGGAAAGAGTAGTGAGGGGCAGCAGTCAAGGGTGAGCGTGAGAGGTACGGAGCATCAGGGTGAACAAAATAGTGGGGTTGTGCGTGAAATTTTGGAGGTTGTTGAGGACATGGAGAAAGGAAAACGGATCAAAATTCCTTCAACGAAGTATCGGGATTTTGTTACACATACAATACGGAAACACAATCCATCGACGAGTACACCCGCAACATCATCTTTCCCAGGTACTCCTTATCCTCTCACATATTTTGTTGATTGTTCTCGTTTTTGTGAAAAACACAAAAGTATATTGCATCCATAACTGCAGGGCACGAGCCTAGAACTTTCAAAGATGCAATGAAATACTCAGGATGGAGAGATGCAATGGCCGCAGAAATTAAAACTATAGAAGAACAGGGTACTTGGGTGCTTGAGAAACTCCCACATGGAAAGAAGGCTCTCAGAAGCAAGTGGGTATATACAGAAAAGCGTGATGAACATGGTAATTTGTTGAGATTGAAGGCTGATTGGTGATCTTAGGGAACCATCAAGTGGAAGGAATTGGATTACAACGAAACATTTTGCTGCTGTAGCAAAGATGACTACTGTTAGGACTTTCCTAACAATAGCAGCAGTGAAGAATTGGGAGGTACATCAGATAGATGTGCATAATGCATTTTTACATGGAGACTTGGAGGAGGAAATTCACATGAAAATGCCTCCAGCTTTCAACAAAAATAACTTTGACTATGTGTACAGGATGAAAAAGTCGTAGTATGGCTTGAAACATGCTCCTAGGTGTTGGTTTGCTAAATTGACCGAGGCTTTGAAGAAATATTTATTCAAACAATCTCACTCTAATTATTCTTTGTCCACACTGACCGAAGAAAAATTGCAGTTGAATGTGTTGATATATGTTAATGATCTACTCGTTGCAGGAAATGATAAAAATTCTTTATCCAAGTTTAAAGCATATTTAGGTAACTGTTTTAAGATAAAGGACTTGGGAGTATTGAAGTATTTCCTAGGTCTTAAGGTGGCACAGAGTAAACAGGGATTTTATATTTGTCAACGGAAATATTCTCTTGACATTATTTCTGAAGCAGGACTTTTAGGAGCTAAGCCGACATATTTTCTGAAGGAACAGAATCATAAATTAGCTCTAGTAGGAGGCAGAGTATTGGAGGATGTGGAAAGTATAAGCGGCTAGTTGGGCGCCTAATCTATTTGTCAGTGACTAGATTTGGCATATCCTGCCCACATATTATCTCAGTTTATGCAGTCTCCGAAAAAGGCACATTGGGAAGCAGCACTTCGTGTGGTGCGCTACTTGAAGAAAAATCCGGGACATGGAATACTCCTTCGATCTGATAGTGCTTTGAAACTAGAGGGTTGGTGTGCCTCTGATTGGGCAAGTTGTCCTTTTACTAGGCGGTCATTGATAGGTTGGTTTGTGTTACTTGGTTTCCCCAGTGTCTTGGAAAACTAAGAAGCAACATATTATTTCTAAATCGTCTGCGGAAGCGGAATATGGGTTAATGGCGGCCATGACATGTGAATTAAAGTGGTTGAAACAATTATTAGGAGATTTGGGTGCAACATTCGCAGGTTATGAATTTATTTTGCGATAGTCAGTCAGCTCTATATATTGCTCAAAATCTGGTATTCCATGAGAGAACGAAACATATTGAAGTTGATATGCATTTAGTGAGAGATGCGATTAAAGATGGTTTGATTTCGCCGTCGTATGTTCCTACAAAGGAGCAGCTCGCGGACATTTTTACCAAGGCCTTGGGGAAGGCTCAATTCGAGTCTCTACTTGCCAAGTTGGGCATTCGGGATCTTCATGCTCCAACTTGAGGGGGATGTTAAGATAAGTTAGTATATATTAGCATATATTTAGGGAATATATTTTTATATTTCATTGTATTATCTTTTGGTATGATAGAGATTTCCCTAAGCTAAATATATTAGAATCCTACCTTAATTAGGTTGTTATGTATTTGTATAAATAGTTGATTGATGATGAATGAGAAGGATGAAATCTCACGTTTAATTTGACAAACCCTTTAATTTTAGGACGAAACTATGAAAACGGAATCACTCCCAGCTTTGAACAACAAAATTAAATTCGATGAGAATGGGGATTCCTCAAGTGAAGAAGATGTATGGGTTTCGTGCTTATTGTTAATTTGTGTTGATTGATATGGATTATGTATATTTGTGTTATCATTTGGGAATTGGAATTGAGAATTTGTATTGCTTTTTTTAATGAAGGCCAATGGAGATGAGTAGCAAAAAGCCGGTTAGTATATTCAGAGAAGTGATTCGAGTGCCTAAGAAGGTCAGCTTCATAACACCTGTATTTTACATATTACTTGTAATATATTATGAATACGAAACATTTCTAATGTAAGCAATTTTGTTGTTCATTACTTTCTAAGGGGGTTGGAATATTATAATTTCAATGCTCCTTTCTAGGGGGATTAGAATATTATGATTGTGATGATCCTTTTTAATTTTTAGCGACTTAGCGTTGTTCACTTGTTCCTTGTATGAAAGTCTCACCATCTATCTACCATTGGGATTTCTACAATTAAATTTTAACTATGGGATTAACCATGAAGTTGCCAATTTACGATCTTGTTAATCTAAAATTAGTGCCTAGCCATCTGTCTCTAGTTTTCCTTTGGCAATTAGATGTGTTTGAACTCTGAAACAGAGGAAGTCATCTGAAGTGAGCTCTTTGTTATTCCAATATATGAAGATTCATCTTTATTCAGTGCTTTCTTAGGCAGTTCACTTCAATATGCAGTTCACTTTTCTATGTGCATTACTGATATCTTCAGTGCATAAGACAGTTACTGTGTACCAGAACAATTGGAGAGACTTACCATTTATTGGACTTACCATTTTTTTTATGTTTTCTGAGGGTGGTTGACAGATTAGATTTTCTGTTTCTTGGGATGAGAGGTAAAACTCAGATGTGTTGAATGAAACATGACCAATATCTAAGCTTCTGCGAGAACTTTTTATGATGTGAATTGCAAGAGTGATAAGTTAGAGGATTCTGGTTTATCATTCTTTATATCTATGTTACTCTAACTCGACTAGAAGTGTCAAGACACAGGTATGTATTCAAGTGTGTTAGACGTAGCCATTTTCTAGTTTTTTTTTTCTTTTTTTCTCCTGAAGTTGTCCCAAAAGGAAGTATCCAAAGTCACACCAATGTTGAGCGTCTAGTATTTGATATGGCTACTTTAGAGCAAATGAAAAGTCGGAGTAACATAGGTTGATGTTATTCCCTTGGAATTATATTATCCCTTTGAATGTTTAGGCTGATTTAAGTAAGCTTTGTTTGGTCTTTATCTCAAGGCTAACTAACTCTTATAATGTAATTGAAATAGGTAGTACGCGATCCACGATTTGAATCTCTTTGTGGCAATCTTGATGAAGAGGGGTAAGGTTAGTTCTAGTTTGAATTTAATATGTCATTATGTGGGTTTATTTTCTTGTTTTAGATGCCCGTTTATTGTTTAATTCATCTATTTATTTTTGTTATAAATTATCAGTGAATATTTTCATGTTATAGTCGAGCCTATGCCAGAATTTCACGTTTGTTGATCTTTAAGAATAATTTATTCTGACATTGATAATAAATTTATTCATTTGATTCTTATTTTTATTATTTCTGTGGATAACGGAAGGGTACATCTTAGTGATAGGTGATGAAATTTTTGTACAAACCTCACAGCATTGTATGATATGAAGTAAAAATATGATAACCTAACTATGATCTAACACACATTTGATGAAAGTTGCATTTTTACATCATTCAAATATTGACATGAACTTTGTGTACAATGCAGGTTCAAGAAGAGATATAAATGCATCTATGAAGTGAACCTTCCCACTGAAAAGCAAGTATGTTTATTTGGCTATCTGGTGCTGTGAGTGGATCTTTTAACAACAAGGTGCGTGAAAAGTACAAAGATCCTCCAGCTCGGTGGTGGGAGATCTTCTGGTCTATTGCTTGGGGAGTATGGCTTGGTAGGAATGCTTGGAGGCATGAAAGAAAAAAGAAAGACTCGAGGGATCTTATCTTGAAGGCTCTGAGCTTGATTGGAGAATATGAACAAGCAAATGAAGCTAGTAGTGTGAGTGTGAAGGGTACCAACTACTAAGCTACCTAGCTAGTGGACTACTCCAAGGTCAGCTGGGATTGGGGGGCGTAATGCGGGATTCCGTGGGTGATGTTGTAGCAGCTACTTGTATGCAAGTACAAGGTTTGTGTGGGGTGGATGTGGCTGAAGCATGACCTATATAAGGGAAAAATACCCTCATGACTTCCCCCCCCCCCCACAAACTGATGTTGCAGCGTAACTTTTACTAAACCCTAACTTTGTTTTCAGTTTTTTTTGATTTCGCTTTGCCTTGTGTAAATTGTTGTTGTTAGTGCATATCATTGTGAAACGCATGTGATGTGTGTGGGTGTGAGTCCCTACAAGTGTTTGTTGTTGGATTATGATGATTGCATGTGTTGTTTTGGAATCTTGGATTATGCTTAGTTATGTGAAAGACGGTTTCTTGTGTACACTTCTGGTTTTTGATACTGTTGGATGGTTGTATGTGTACGTTGCTGGATATTGATTTAGTATGCCTGGTTATTTAGTTGTGCATTGATTCTGTTGGATGGTTTGTGTTGGATGGATTCTGGTGGATGTTCTTTGTTGGATTTGGTGGGTGTTTGTGGTGTTGGAATGGCCAAAGGAATGCATGATTGATGGATGATGGGTTATGTTGGATGGTTGTTTGTGTACAGTCCCATTTGAATGTTGCCTAGTTGTGCTTGCAAGTCAGTGTCTGTGTGTTTGTGTACGAGTCCCCCATAAAGTATGTTGTGTGTGAATAAATTCCAAATGATGAAGGGACTCACTTTGAGTTGGATGTGTAGGTTTGTTTTGCTCCAACAAGTGTCTTTTAACTCTTGTTGTTGAGGTAACAACCTACACCATGCCACTGAAAAAAAAAAAGTAAAATCCCTGATGGAATTCATAGGTCAATATTCATACTGAAATTCATTGAATAGACTTCAAAAACTTACATTTTCACATTCCCTACATATAATCATTTATTACATGACTGCCTGAAAAAAGGAAATTATATCTACCAAAATACACATAACCAAATCATTATAAGCATCAACAAAAAACCAGTTGCTTACTTTACACAAAAACCAGTTGTGAGTCCATATTTGGTTATGTGTGGAAGTCATGTTGTCATTGAATGATGGTGTTGTACCTAGTCTGCATCAACATGTAGTCTACAATATGTTGATTAGTTGGAATAAAAAGTGTGTTGAGGTGTTCAACTGCTTGTTGAATGAGTTCCCTTTCAACTTCCAAAAACTCTGGCAGAAGACCTAGGTTGTCCAACCTTTTCTTGCCCATGTGAGGTGGATTGAAGTTGTCCCCCCCCCCCCTTCTTTCTCTAGAATCTTTTTCATTACACTTTGCAAAGTGATCCATGAGTACTTGTTGAGTACTGGATCAAACCATTCATAAGCCTGATAGACTTTCTCTATTAACTCATCAATTTTAGTGGGAAATGACTGGTATTGCAAGGATTGAATGACCTTGAACAAACCAAGATCCAATACATTAAGATCTGGAGATTGTGCTGGCTGGAATATCATTTGGATGTTGAATCCATGTGTTGTACATGCTGCAATGAACTCTTCATCCCTTGGAATTTGATGTGGATTAGCATTGTCCCATTGAATGTATATGTCCTTAGACAGACGGGGATGCCATTTCCTGTGTAGTGCTAGAATGATATTTGTCAATAGCATTTTCCTGATTTCTTCTTTGGTCACACTTTGCCTATCCTTTGTCTCCATCACCCCTGTATCTCTGTTCTTGCTTTTCTTCTTTGCCATTTGCTGGTAGGTGAATGGAAAAATTTTATACTTACCATCATGTAGCATATTGCCACTTAAGTCATAAAGGGGCTTACCAATCATCCCCATGAACATAGCCTTAATCTTGTATCTCTTGGACTGCTGACATCTGTATGGGTTTTCTTCCTTTGGTAAGAGGTAGAACCTCCTTATTTCTGGATTCATATAGAACCATTTTTCATCTATGTGTATAACTTGTTGCATACTAATGAAAGTTGGATCTCCAACTGCTGGGATTGGGTGAATATGGGCTAATGCCCACTTGAGTTTTGCCACTTTGTCATTTGATGTGAGTGCTGGATGGTTGGCGGTTGTATGTGTTCTTAATCTGCCCTTTTTCTTCAATCTATGGAGGTATCCATGTGATACTTTCAGATAAGCTGCATAACTCCTCTCTGTTGTCCTTTTGTATAGAGGCACTGATTGCAAGTAATCATTAGTAATAATTCTGGGTTTGGGTCCTGTTTTCCCCAATTTTTTGCTTCTGACATCAATGACATTCCCTTGTGCTATACTTTGTTTCACAAACTGCAAGACCCTCATTGATGTGCTTATGTGTATCCCATATTTTTTTGCCATTTGTAACAAACACCTTCTGGGTAGTTCCCCACCATGCATGTGTAGTAGGAAGTCATCAACAATTTGGCGTTTCTGCTGCACTGTTAATTGCTTTCTACTTGTTGGTTGTGCCTCTGCTTCATGTTCTTCTACACTGCTGTCCCCCTCACTGTCTTCATCCATGCTGTCATCATCTGTGTTGTACTCAAATGGCCCCTCATTTATTAGTTGGTCTATGTCAAAAAAATCCTGATCATAGTACTCCTCCATGTGTTGTGTGTTCCTGATGTATGAGTTTTATACCATGTTTTATCCCGGTTTTACAATGCATATTTGCATGGTTTTGGGCTCTTTGGAGCCATTTCTTGCTAACAATCTCTTCTCTAGTGTGTTCGATCTATTTTTGTGAGTTTCATAGGAATAAGGAGTTTCTTGGATGAATCGGACGTACTTGGACATGTATAGAAGAGGCTAGTGCATGAAGATGAAGATTTTCCCCATGCCCTGTTGACCCTAGCTTACCCGGTCAAACAGGGCAAAGAAGGGTAAACTAGATATGGAGTATATGCTGCAGACTCCACGTGCCCGGTTGGGCATAGCTCGCCCGGTGGGACCGGGCACTAAAGAGTTAGAAGATAGCTATGAAAATAGAAAAGGCAGCAGTCAGCTTTGATTTGTCTTGCGCGCCCGATCGAGCATGGTCCGCCCGGTGGGACTGGGCACAGGGTGGAAGAAGATTAACGAAGAAGAATTGGGTCGTACTCCAGCCGCCCGATCGGGCATCCCACGCCTGGTTGGACCGGGCATTGCTTTGCGGAACCCGATTTGCTTATTTTCGCAATTCTATCTTTTTGGGGGTATAAATACCCTTTGTAATCACAATTATAAAACACATTATTATATTCTCTAGTATTAGTTTTCTCTAAGAACCCTAGTTTTGTTCTCTTTTAAGCAATTTAATTTCTACTCTAAGCTTTGATTATTGTTCATCAACAATTTGAGTTCTTTCAATTGAAGCAATTTTGGTATTCATCTATCTCACTTCTCTTTCATTTATTTTGCTTATTGATTATGTTTTCTCTATTAAATCTTGTTATTGGTTTTGCTATTATGTGTGAGTAGATTCATAATCCAAGATCTTGCAAAGCCCAGATGATTCATGTTTAGATTTAATCTTTAATTTCTCCAATAATATTTCCAATTGACATGCTTGATTGATTGTGTTTATGCCAATACTAGATTAGGAATAATTGGTATTGTTAATATCCCTTTGTTCTTATTGCAACGGAAGTTGATTATTAACGGGATTTGGGTATTTCAATTAAGGGTTTGAAGGTCATCACGGAAGTAGATGATTGAATGATTAGGAAGTTAAGTATTGTGTTTAATGTCCCTTATTTGCTTGATTCCATGGAAATAGGTTTGATAGTTGATTTGGTAAGCCATTGATAACTCGGGAGAGACCTTTGGTATTGATTAGGGAATGCTTTCCCTCTTGTTGATTGAATTGTTATTGGGGGTAGATTTATTTATGCATTGATTATATTCGTGGTAATGCTTGATATTAAATGTTTTAGTTCATTGATTTATCATTTTGCTTAGATTAATTGAGTCCTTTAATTATTAGTTCTTAGAAGTTCATCACCATTGAATTGTTAATTGCTTAGTAATTATTTGAGTCTATTTAATTAGGTGAACCTTAGTCTCTTGGGATTCGATCCTTACTTGCCCGTCTACATAGTAGTGGTCTCGTTAGGTTTATTTTTGTTAGGTACGCGACACGCCTATCAAACTTTGGCGCCATTGCCGGGGACTAACGATTTCTTTCTGATTATTTGTGGTTCGTTTTTACTAAGCTTTATTCGTTGCTTCGGCTATTGTTTCTTGTGTTTTTGATATTCTCCTTTTAGTTCTTTGTTGCATGCAAACACGACGTTCAGGGTCAGACGATTTATCACCTTTTGATTTTGAAATCGAAGCAACTGTAAGGAAACGAAGAGGTAGAAGAAGAGGGAGAAATCAAAACAATAGAAACATGGAAGACGACACGAAATCCCTTTTGGAGTACGGTATTCCTGATACGACAACCGGACTCCTCTCTAGCATTTTAAGACCACCTGTCATTGCTCAAAACTTCGAATTGAAACCACATTTCATTCAATTCATCTCCAATGATTCATTTGCTGGCACACCACATGATTGCCCAGTAAGTCATATCGATAGTTTCTTGGAGAAATGTGATACTATGAAAATGAATGGTGTTACAGATGATGCTATCAGACTTCGCCTTTTCCCTTTCTCACTACGGGATAGGGCGAAAGAATGGTTGAGAGATGAAGGCATTGGTTCATTTGATACATGGGAAAAGCTGGTGAAAGCTTTCCTGGTCAAGTTCTTGGGACAAGAAAAGACTGCAAGGTTAAGGAACGAACTATCTACCTTCAGGCAGTCAGAAGATGAGTCCCTTTATGAGGTATGGAGGAGATTTAAGCGATTGCAGAGGCAATGCCCTCACCATGGTAATCCCGAATGGATGTTGGTTCAAACCTTCTATAATGGCCTAAACCATGAGTTCCGAATCTACATTGATGCTGCATCAGGGGGTTCTCTCTTGACAAAGAACCTAACTGAGGAAAAGGAGCTAACTGAGAAGATGGCGGCCAATGATAACTATCATCCAGGAGGCCGACATAATGTGAAAAAGGGAGGTAAATTAGATGTTGATGCTCTAATTCTTTTGACTAGCTCTGTGCAGGCATTGACAAGCAAGTTTGATAAACTCCAAGCTGGAACATCTACTAGTTCACCGAAGATTTGTCAAATGTGTAATGTGCGGGGTCACATTACAAAATTCCAGTGAGATGTCAATTGAGGAAGCCAATGCATTCTACACCTCTAATCCCAAAAGTCCATATGATCCCCATTCTAACACATACAATGAAGGTTGGAAGCACCACCCAAATTTCTCCTACAAAAATAACCAAGCCCAACAAAATCCACCTCCACCACCACCTCGAAACAACAACTACAATACACCACCCGGTTACCAACCAAGGCCACATCTAGTCCAACAACCTGTGCAACCACCTCCTCAAAAATCCAAACTTAAACTAATGGTTGAAAATTTTATCACCACAACCAACAATTCCATCCAACAACAAAATAGTTCCATATAACAGTTACAAGCCCAAAGTAAGCTCATGGAAAATTAGATAAGTCAACTTTCTCATCAAGTTGGCCAATCTTTAAAGACACCGGGCACTTTTCCAGGTTAGACAGAGCAACCACAAAAAGGGCATATGAATGTTGTAACCTTGAGGAGTGGAAAGCAATTAGAAAATCCTCCTATCAAGGAGCCATCAAAGGAAGTTGTTGAAGGGGTAGGCGAAGGTGAGAAGGTGATTGATAGTCCGATGATCAAGGAAGAACCAAAGGAAGCAAATCCACCACCACCTCTTGTTCCATATGTGCCAAAGGTTCCTTTTCCGCAGAGGTTAGCCCAAGCCAAGTTAGAGAAAAAGTATGGAAAATTTTTGGATATTTTGAAAAAGCTTCATATTAATATTTCATTCTTAGATACAATATCCGAGATGCCATCTTATGCAAAAATTTTAAAGGGTATGCTCTCTAATAAGAAAAGGCTAGAAGAGAATGCTACAATTGCTTTGACTGCAGAGTGTAGTGCAATTTTGAAAAACACTCTTCCTAAGAAATTAGGCGATCCAGGTAGCTATTCAATTCCAGTGAAACTTGGAGATATTGAAATTAACAGGGCATTATGTGATCTTGGTGCAAGTGTAAGTCTTATGCCACTTTCCATTTGTAAGAAGCTTTAAATGGGTGAACTTAAGCCTACACGCATATCTCTACAACTTGCAGATAGGTCGGTTAAGTTCCCTTTGGGTGTACTTGAGGATGTGCCTCTTCGCGTAGGGAAATTCTTTATTCCCTGCGATTTTGTTGTGATAGAGATGGAGGAGGATGCACATGTTCCCATTATTCTTGGTAGACCTTTCTTAGCCACTACAGGTGAAATTATTGATATGAAAAATGGAAAATCACCTTTGAGGTTGGCGACGAGAAAATGGAGTATTCACTTTTGCATGCTATGGGCACTCCTTCTATGGGAGAAACTGTTTGTCAAGTGGATGTCCTTGATGATCTACAGAGTGAGCAACTCCCCTTGAGCAAAACAGATGATGCACTTGAAACAGTGCTAATGGGGAACGATAATGATGAAGATTGGGAATCAAAAGAGTACACAAGGCTACTTGAGGAAGCAAAAGCCAACCCAATCACTACTCCAATCAGAGAAGTACTTAGTGCAGCGAGTGTTGGGGAGAGTACTACGCCTCCCGAGGTAGAGTTGAAACCCCTTCCCTCTAATCTTAAATATGCATATCTTGGTCCTAATAATTCATACCCTGTTATTGTTAATGCTGAACTCAAGGACACAAAATTATAGCAACTGCTCACTGTTTTGAGAAAATATAAAAGTGTTATTGGGTACACCATTGATGATATTAAGGGTATTAATCCTTCTTTTTGTATGCATAAAATCATCCTTGAGGACGATCATGCCTCTTCTGTAGAACCTCAAAGACGACTTAATCCAAATATGATGGAGGTAGTGAAAAAAGAGGTTCTTACATTGCTTGCTGCAGGAATAATTTACCCTATCTCAAATAGTAAGCGGGTTAGCCCTGTACAAGTAGTACCAAAAAAAGGAGGTATGACCATTGTCAAGAATGACAAGGGTGAGCCAGTAGCCACTAGGACTGTCACAGGGTGGCGTATGTGCATTGATTATAGAAAATTAAATAAGGCCACCCGGAAGGACCATTTCCCCCTACCCTTTATTGATCAGATGCTTGAACGTTTGGCTAAGCATTCCTTTTTCTGTTATTTGGATGGATATTCTGGTTTTTTCCACATTCATATTCGTCCTTGTAATCAGGAAAAGACTACATTCACATGTCCATATGGCACTTTTGCATATCGCAGGATGTCATTTGGATTATGCAATGCCCCAGCCACGTTTCAACGTTGTATGATGGCAATTTTTTCAGGTCTCATAGAGAATTCTATGGAAGTATTTATGGATGATTTTTCTGTCTATGGAACATCTTTCGACGCATGTCTTGAAAATTTTAAAAAGGTGCTCCATAGATGTCAGGAAGTCAATCTGATTTTAAACTGGGAAAAATGTCATTTTATGGTACAACAAGGAATTGTCTTAGGTCATGTTGTGTCAAATAAGGGTATTGAAGTTGATAAGGAAAAAATAGAGGTCATAGAGCGATTACCCCCTCCGAATTTTGTAAAAGGAGTTCGAAGTTTCCTTGGTCATGCAGGTTTTTACCGTCGTTTCATTAAGGATTTTTCGAAAATTGCTTGACCTCTAACTGAGCTTTTAGCTAAGGATGCTCCATTTATTTTCACTGAAGCTTGTCTTGAGGCTTTTAACAGGTTGAAGGAAGCTCTGATCTCTGCTCCTGTTATGCAACCCCCGGATTGGACCTTACCATTTGAAATCATGTGTGATGGTAGTGATTATGCGGTAGGAGCCGTTTAGGGGCATTGAAAGGATAAAAAGCTTCATGCTATTTATTACGCTAGTAAAACTCTTAGCTCTGCTCAAATGAATTATGCCACAACTGAAAAGGAGATGCTAGCTGTAATTTATGCAATTGATAAGTTTCATTCTTACTTAGTTGGCTCGAAAGTAATAATCCATACAGATCATGCAGCATTGAGTCACTTAATGAGCAAAAGTCACGCCAAGCCACGGTTGATTCGTTGGATCCTTCAACTGCAAGACTACGATATAGAGATTTAGGATACAAAGGGGACTGAGAATGTCGTCGCAAACCACCTCTCCCGCCTTCTCCTCGACCCTGAGGATGGGGACGATCTCCCTTTTTGATGATTCTTTCCCTGCTGAACATTTATTAGCTCTGTTGAAAACTGAATCACCTTGGTATGCTAATTTGGCTAATTTTCTGTCCACAGGTACAATGCCTCACGGCTACTCATCTCAACAAAGGAAGAAATTCCTTTATGAGGCGAGGAGACACTTCTGGGAAGATCCCTTCTTATATAAGCTATGTGCGGATACTGTGATTCGACGATGCATCCCAGAGAATGAGGTAAATAATATTATTTCTCGTTGCCATGACTTACCATATGGTGGACATGCAGGTCCTTCGAAGACAACTGCTAAGATCTTGCAATGTGCACTACTAGAAATAGGCCGATTTACGACGGATCAGTTCCGACGGACATGTTTTTCCGTCGTAAATTCCGACGGAATTTTATTCCACAGGTAATTTACGACGGATTTCCTACGGAATAAAATTCCGTCGGAATTTATGGGCTTTTCGACGGAATACTCCATCGGAAACTTAATGTTTCGACAGAAATTAAATCCGTCGGAAGAATATTCCGTTGAAAATTTAATTTTCCGATGGAAAATTCCGTCGGAATATAATTAAATAATAAAAATAAAATAAAAAAAAAAACTTAAAACCCAAAAAACCCTAATAACCCAAAATTCCGCCACTCTTGCCTCATTTCTCTTTCTCTCTCTTCTCCTCTTTCCTCTTCTCTTTCTCTCTCTTCTATTTCCTCTTCTGTGTTCACCCCTCACGCTCCACCTCCTTTTCTTTCCTTTCTCTATCTCCTTTCTTCTCTTTCCTTCTCCTTCTTTGTATTCTGTTTTCATCTCACGCTCCGATCCATCTCCTCTTCGTCCTCTTCGACCACCACAAGACCAGCAGCAACAACGAAAACACCACCTACCACCGTAACAACACTAGCAGCAACGACAACCAACAACGACGACACATTGTAATTTTTTTTACTAATTTCATAATACAATTGTATATATATTTATTTGTTCGATTTCAATTTTTTTGTGTATTTTTTTCGGATTTCTGAATTTATTGTACGATTTGGGTGTTATGGATTTGTTTTGTAATTTTCGATTTGGTTTTTGTTAATTATCAATTTGGGGTTTTTTTTCGATTTGGGGGTTTTTTTTCGATTTTGTCAGTTTTGGACAGGGTGGGGGGGTGGGGTGGGGGGTCTGGTCTGGGAGGGGGGGTCAGGGTGTGGGTGGTGGTCTGGGTGGGGGGGTTTGGTCTGGGTGGGGAGGGGGGTCTTGGTGTGGGTGGTGGTCTAGGTGGGGGGATTCTAGGCATGGTTAGGCGTGGGGGGTTATGGTTTGGGTTAGAGGGTTTTGGTTGGTGGTGAAGTGGGATCTGGTGGGTTAAGGTTAGGTGGGTTAAGGTGGTGGGATAAGGTGGTGGTTTACGGTGGTGGTGGTTGATGTTACGAGGGGGGTCTGATCTGGGTGGGGAGGGGGGGTCTAGGTGTGAGTGGTGGTGCCGGAGGTGGCAGGGCGTTTTATTTTTGTTTTTTTTTTGTAGCAGATTCCAAGGGAAATTCCGTTGGAAGTTTCCGGCGGTATTTCGACGGACTTTTCGGTGGCCGAAAAACCTCTTCCGATGAGAAAATTCCGTCGAAAAACACTTTTTCGAAGGAATTTCCGACGGAAAAGACCGTTTTTCCTACAAACATGTTTAAGACAACCTGTTCCGACGGAATTTCCGTCGAAAACGAGTTTTCCGACAAAATTCATGGTGTTTCCGACGGAATTTTTCCGTCGGAAATGACCTGTTTTCTAGTAGTGGCGGTTTTTATTGGCCAACCATGTTAAGAGATGTGTATTCCTTTGTCAAAGCATGTGATCGATGTCAACGGACGGCAATATTTCTAGGAAGAATGAGATGCCACTCAACAACATACTCAAGGTCGAGTTGTTTGATGTGTGGGGGATAGACTTCATGGGTCTGTTTCCTTCTTCCTATGGTAACCGATATATCCTAGTAGCCGTGGACTATGTGTCGAAGTGGGTGGAAGCAATTCCTACTCCAATCAATGATGCTTGTGTGGTAAGTAAGTTTTTCAAGAAAGTTATTTTCCCTCGTTTTGGTTTACCACATGTGTTGATTAGTGACAAGGGAACACATTTCTTAGAGCATCGGTTTGAAGCAATGTTGAAAAAATATGGAGTACAACACAGACTTGGCATTGGCTATCACCCACAAACAAGTGGTCAAGTAGAAGTATCCAACCGGGAAATAAAATCAATTTTGGAGAAAACGGTTGCAAAGTCAAGGAAAGATTGGTCGATCAAGATTGATGATGCACTATGGGCATACCGAACGGCTTTTAAAACGCCAATTGGTACAACCCCATATAGGCTTGTGTATGGAAAGGCGTGCCACTTACCTGTCGAGCTAGAACACTGAGCTTTTTGGGCTATTAGAAGTTTAAATTTTGATGCTCAAGCAGCACGTGAAAAGAGATTGTTACAATTAAATGAGCTAGACGAGATCCATCTTGAAGCCTATGAAAGTTCGAAGTTGTACAAAGAAAAGACCAAAAGGTGGCATGATAAGGGTCTTGTGAGAAGAGAATTTAAGGAAGGAGATCAAGTCCTTTTATTCAACTCAAGATTGAAATTATTTTCCGGTAAGCTTCGTTCTAGGTGGTCGGTTCTATTCAAGGTTTGTAAAGTCTACCCCTATGGCACTATTGAATTATGGAATAAAAATGGGGGTACTTTCAAGGTAAATGGCCAAAGAGTGAAGCATTATTGAGTAGGTGATCCAATTGATGAAAGAGTGGACATCACACTCTCTTCCCCATCACCAAGCCAATGAGCATTACTACGGTCAAGCTAACGACCACATAAACAAGCGCTTCCGGGAGGCAACCCGTTTTTCTTAGTTTTTCCTATTTCTATATTTATATTCTTTTCTTGTTTTGT